CTGCTTCTTTTCTCTAGCAGCTTTCAGTATATTATTCTTGTGCTGAATTTCTGGGATCTTGAGTATTATATGTCTCAGTGTGTTTTTCATTGGGTTGTGGTTACTTGGTGTTCTGTATGCTTCAGTTACATGAATGTCAGATTGTTTCCTCATATTTGTGAAGTTTTCTGCTATTACTTCTGCCCATATTTTTTAATGTCATTTGTAGTGACTCCTTCTTTCTCATTGATGCCTATTTGTCTCACATTGTTCATCTTTGCATCGTCTTGCAGGTGATGGATTATTTTTTCCTGCATCCTAGTTGTTTTTAAGAGATCCTTTCTTTTCATTAGCTGTGCCAGCGTCTTCAAGATCTGAATCTCTGTCTTCATTTTGACTTAAGCAGTTTTTGTTTGTTTATTTGATTTTGAGGAATCAGGGATTGAGCTCAGGCCCTTGTGCTTGCCAGGGAAGAGCTTATTCTACTGAGCCATCTCCCCAGCCCCAGACTTAAACCATTTTGCAAGCTTGTTATTGAGATTTTAAATTCCTCTCTATCTCTTTGACTCTTCTTCATGTGATCTATTTCTTTCCTGTATTGCTCGTTCAAGGAATCCATCAGTTTTCTAATCTCCTCTAAGGTAATTCCACTCCTCTAATCTCTGCTCTGAGTTCCTCTATAACTTTCTGCTGATGCTTATTTACTATCAACACTATTAATTCATACATTTGAGCTGAGGTAGTATAAAAGAATTCTGCTCTGAGTTCTTCTATGACTTTCTGCTGTTGTTTATTTACTATCGACGCTATTAATTCCTATATTTGAGCTGAGCTGGTGTACTCTCCACTTGTTCTGGGTGGGCATTGGATCTCTTCCATATGTTTCTTTCTTTTTAAACTTCTTCTTTTTTTTTTTTTTTAATGGAACCAGGGGTCGAACTCAGGTCCTTATACTTGCCATGGAAGCACTTATTCCACTGAGCCATCTCCCCAGCCCTCCTCCATATGTTTCTGCATTTGATTCTTTACTGCAGATATTATTAATTTAGGGATTTGTTTTTTCATTTCCAATCTGAGTTCCCCTATACCTTTCTGCAGCTGTTTCTTTTTTTCAGAAGCCATTGATTCATTGATTTCAGCTGTGTGATTCCCAATTTGTTCTGTGTTAGTGTCCTCTGCACTTGTTATGGGTGGGCTTGGGTTCTGA